CCACAGTCACATAGCTAGTGGTGTCCAAACTAGAATCCAGGTTTTTGACTCCAGTTCCAGTTTTTCATGCGATACTGCTTTTGTGTGATTTTTGTTTACATTACACTTCAGCCTTGGAAAGCCAAGATGGGCAGAAATGATATTCCTTTTTACTGAGCTGGAAAATGGAATGACACACATATGCAGAAAAATTGGCACTAAGAGACAGGTCTCCTCAACTGCCAGGATCTGTGTTTTAGATTAAAACCAACCTGGAGATGGGGCACTCCAAGTTGCTGCAGGATGACGTAGGTGGGGGAATAGCAACCAGGAAAACCAGAAGCTGCCTCAGAAACTAGAGCACCTTCTAGTTTTCAAACAGAAAAGCCCAAGTTCCTGCGGCTCTGTTAAAGGTGAAGGGGCTGCAGGGATGTAGAGGAACAGGGCGTTTTCGTTTAGTGGCTTCACTAAAGAATTTGTTTGCGATGATGTAAACGTTCTGGATATGGATAGTGGTGATGGTGGTACAACATTGTGAAGAGACTTAATGCCATTGAATCGCATACTTTACAATGGTTGACATGGTAAATTTTTGTTATGTATATTTTACAACAACAACAACAACAACAACAAAATAAATGAAGAGATTAATTACATGTTTCCAAGGTTCTGTTGATTCTAAAAGTGTGACTCTTACTCCAGTGGAAGATTTCCTCCAAAATCAGCTTCACCTTCCCAAGTGCTTCCTCTCTCTCATCTTTCAGAGCCCTCGCCCAGAAGATCCCAACACTGTTTTTAACTCCCTAAGATAAATATCTGTGGCTGGTATACAACCGAGGATAATGTCTGCATTTAGTCTGTGTTGTGGATGAGACCAATAGCATGTTGAATGGCTGGGGCGGAGGCGAAGTCTTTTTGAAATGACAACTTTTTACTCTGATGAATTGACTTTCTCTGCTACAAGAGGTATTGGGTTTTGTTTTGCTTTAGTTAAAATGCATGTCATTACTTGAGCATGGTGTAAAAATGGGCTGAGAATCCTTATCCTTGAAGGCCTAAGTCACGGAGGCTCGTTCAGGTCTTTCAACCCTGTCCTGTTTGCAGGCAGGTGGCAGTGCTGGAGCTGGGGGAGCAGGTGCAAAAACACAAGCACGCATTGACATAATCCTCGGACAACTTTTCAGCGGTGGAAACCTGTCTCACCTGGGTCCTAAGAAAAATCTAGCATAGCCCAGAAGCTGACCCTGAACACGTGAGCCTGGCTCCAGCCTGGGGTGTCAGTGCAGACACCGGGCCAGAGGCAAGACTGAAGAAGCTGATGGGCAGGCACGTGGTTCTCAGCCCTACAAAAGGCACTCGGCAGTCTAACTTGTCCTGGAAAAAGTGAATTACTATTAACCTGTTCCTAAGGCACCCTCGTGTTTGGTTTTCAGCTTGGTTTGACTCTTCTTCCATGTAGAAACATCTCTTTCATGTATGATGACCCCCTTTCACTCCTACCCCAAAGTTCAGTCAGTGCAAGGTAAATAAGTAAGCCCAACTATGGATGATACTCATCATCTTTAGAACTTTTCTCCATGAGGTACAGTCACAGAATGTCAGGAAACTTGGCCGCGAGGGGATGGCACAGACCTAGAGCCAGTCTTGCAACGGTGCTGGTGTGGCATGTGCTGCTGGAGTGGGGAACTGTACTCGAAAACATTCAGAAGCCAGGGAAGGCAAATGATGTAAACATTAGAGCGGAACTACTTCCCTTTACATAATTGGGTATTCTTGGAAAGCTTTGTAAATCTGATTCCCAGGATTCAAGGTGCTTTATTTTCCTCTTAATTAGCTTTCAAGGATGTGCCTATATCTCTCTCCAAAACACCACGGTGGGACAAATGCCAGCCTGAAGGTAGCAGGCAGCCAGTGTGTAAGTAACGACCGCAGGAGACTTCCCTGAAAGGAACTGTTCAGTCCACCACTGAGAAAAAGTAAAGAATGTTTTGGTGACATCATTCCCATGCAGGCAGGAGATAACTGCCTATACACAGCTACGACTGGGATCAACAGGCTGGCTTCAGGTTAAGGAGAGTCAGTCACTGGGGCAGGATTTAACATCCAGAGGTCCAGCACAGCGTGAACACACAGGGTGCATGGTCCCATTAGGTCAGCTGGGGTTCCAGGAATGGAGGCGCTCTCAACACAGGGTTCGGCTCACTAAGGGTACTGGACACACTCCCAGAGAGACAATGCCAGTTGCAGCATCAAGTTGAGAAGACAAGGGTGAGGTTGGGGGCCAGGATGGGTCTGGAAATGATGCCCCAAATGATCACTTTAGTAGTAAGAGGCCTTCAAGGGGTGGCCCGCCCACCTGTATTTCAGTTTGGACCTTTAAGGTAGCCTCTCTCTTCAATATGCACTCCTGGCCATTTTCTTCTTCTGCAGTGTACATTGCAGTAAGATTCTACTTACATATGCCTTGCGAAAATTCTCAACTCATGTTGAACAGGTTGACTTTCTGTATCTTATTTATTTGTGTCTGAAAATGCCAAACTAGCAGTGCCAAGATGCCTGCTTTCCCTCTGGATTTGCTCATGTGCTTAAAATTAATTTGAAGCTGGCAACACATTCACAGAATCACTGAAGTTTAGGCCAGGTGCAGTGGCTCCCAGCACTTTGGTGGGCCAAGGCAGGCGGAGTTCAAGACAAGCTTGGGCAACATAGTGAAACCTTGTCTCTACCCAAAATACAACAATTAGTCGGGTGTGGTGGTGTGCAACTGAGGTCCCAGCTGCTCAGAAGGCTGAGGCAGGAGGATCCCTTGAGCCAGGGAAGCAGAGGTTGCAGTGAGCTGAGGTCCTACCACTGCACTCCAGCCTGGGTGACAGAGATTCCACATTAAAGAAAAACCCAAAAGAGAATCACTGAAGTTTAGAAGGCTGCATATGGAATACATAAGGGCTGCATACACATTACTGGGGATATTTGCAGCTTCCAACAACATGCCTCCTTGAGGTTCCAGCTACTTGAAAGTTTGTGCCTAAAGGAAAATTTGTGTCTCAACTCCTGTATTTGAAAACTTTTTGGACACGCATCAACACAATTTTTGGTTTTCCTCTGTTCAGCATGAACACTGTAATGTCTTTGTTCATGCACTCCTTAGAACCTCCTGAGGACCCATCCCACACAGCCCATGCAAAGGACTAAAAACCTTAGACAAGTAAGAACCTTTAAAACGTGTTCAATTAGCAAAGCAGAGTTAAGATGTGTACGTGCACACACACGCTTTTAATCTAAGTGCAGAACAGAGCATTCAATGACACTCGTTAATTTTCTTAATGTGCGCTGCTCCCCTGGTCCCACATCCCTCTGTGCCATTTCTTCCTACAGAGTGGGTACACCACTCTTCTCCCCCAGTCCACGAGAATGGGACAAGGGCCTAAATTGTTTCCTGGAACACAGATACCTGGCTTTTCCCCTGCCTCTGTCTGTCCTTCCTCTACTTGCAGCTGACATCTATAATACATGCTGGCAACACTTAGGTCTGGGGATACAGGTGCCACTGGCATCTACAAGCTGACAGGTGTGAGCTCCAGGCGAGCAGGTGCCTATCCTATGAAATGCAAGGAAAGCAGAGCCTGACATATCCCCTGGCTTCCTTGTTCTCCAAGATACATTTAGGCTACAAATGCCATATCCATTTTCTCCCATAGTGGGGTATATATTGAGCCACACCTACCAGATTGATCTCTGTGACAATTCTCACATTCACAGGGTACTATTCTACCCTGGGAGAACTCCCACTGTCAACTGTTTGCCTTGGGCCTGATTCAACTCAGTTGGCTCCTTCTGCAGCTGACTTACCAGTTTTTAGGTCTCATGGTCTCTCTTGGGTTTCACGGTAGCTGAAATAACATGGTGCTGGACTTCTTTGGGATTAGGTCAAATTACAATAAGAATAAAAGTCCATTTAATTAAGTGAAATGTTTGGGACTACACAAAGCAGAAGTTTTTCTGAGAAATGATGTCTATTTTGTACTTAAATCTCTAAACTTGGACCCATTACTGGAAATGGAGGCATAGATTTGGAGAAAAACATCACAATTTACTCTGAATGATAAAGTGGCAAGGAAAGTCAGCTCCATGTTTGCCCTCATTGTCTAGGGCTTGTAAACTGATCATGATTGTCGCTCAGTGGCAAACCACATAAGAGCCATGTTTCTGTAACCCAACAGACTAGGAGTTGGAAGCGGAATGATATTCTTGTTGATACAGGCATTGGTTCCACTCCCACATCCCTGTAAACCTGGAGCATGAGAAAAGTTCTCTGGGCAGTGTTTCCATCTCACCGTCTCTGGAGAGGCCTCTGCCATGGCTCCAGGAGATGGGCCCTCCCCAGGGCTTCTTTCCCTTCACACGGTAGGCACAGCCACTGCTCACGGGCCCAGCACTGGGCTGAAGTGTGCTCTGGAGTTGCTACAGTCACACCTGATTTGCTACCAATCAGCTCTACATAGCAACCAGGTGCCATAATTCACCAATTATTTTGCTGGAACATTAACGGGGGAATAAAACCTAGTAGAAAAGCAAGATGAAGAGAATAAAGGGGGAAAGAAGGGAAGAAGGGGAAAACAAAAGATGGAGAAACTCAACACGAAATGAGTCCTTGTCACTTAGCTGGGACTCACACACTCTTGATAGTGCTGTTTTCTATGAAAAAATGTGTTCTAAGTTTCAAATAATTAAATTGGGTATTTTCTATATAAAGCCAATCCTGCCAGAGGGGAAATATTTAGCAAGCATTCAAGAAAAGAAGTTTTTTTTTTTTTTAAATCTAGGCCGAGTTTTCTACCAACATTAAGGTGAATTACGTTTTTGTTTGTTTCTTCTTTAGCTGGGATGGGATACCCAGAGACCCTCCCCCACAACATCACAATTTATCACTGAATGGCTGGTCATTTTAGCAAGGTCACTGTTACAAACATATCAAAAAAGGCAATCACTGTAGGAAATAGGACAACAATAGCTGCTTCTACCTCCATGCTAGTATTAGGGTCAAGATCATCACACTCTGATTCCTCGGAACTGTTCGTCTCCTTGATTGGCAGCATGAGGAAGGGGGAAGAAAGAGAACACAGTTAGAACACAAGCAGCTTTTGCTAGAGCGAGAGGAGAACTTCAGAGAAGCATGGGCAGTGGGTTATTGGGCCGAGAATAAACCAGGTGTTTTTAAAGTGGGGGTGAGAATCACCAGGGGCAGCAGCATGCTCTTTTCAGGGAGAGGAGGCCGGGGTTGTGTACAACTGCTAATCTCATGGGAAGCAGCAATGGAAGCACAATGGAGCATGAGTACTGTCCAATTTCAACTGTTGTCTTCTGTGAGGCTGGACTTCCCAGATGAGAGTGAAGGAGAGCATACAATTTCTTTTCCCCAAGAAGGATGTTAGACTGGGTTTTAGTTGTTCTTACTTTGCTAAGGAAGGGAAACAAAGTAGATGATCAGGCAGACGATCACACATTATAGCACAATTAGTGCTATAATAATCAGTGTCTAATTTCCATTGTCCAGAGGCAGAGCGTTCCAGAGGATCCAATTTAAAGAAAGCAGGTGAAATTGTTCCAAGATGGGGGTAAATAAGAGTCTGCCAAGCTTAGAATTCATGAGTTCAAAGTAGTAGATGGATCATTATAAAAAAATAATTTGGACCTCACCCGTGTGGCCCCTACCGTGTCCATACATAGGGAAAGGCAAGTAAAATGGCCTGAAGTTGACGTTGTCTCAACTCTGGGGAAAAGAAATGAAACTTTACTAAGGACACAGTGGCCCTTAAATTCCAAACCTCAGCCTTCACAGGGTTGGGGGTTTGGAAGGCATCTCTAATCGCTTTAACCTGTGTGTATTTTCAAACCTAGGGTACCAAATGGTAGCTTTGAGAAATTTCATATGAATAAGGCATCTCACATTTTTGAGAATGCTGCAGATGATTTTGTTGTAAAACATCTGCACAGTATAAAGAGAAAGGTATGAAAGAAAAAAAAAAAAGGTACTTACTTGAATCGAAGTTGCCAGGAGAAATAAAAGATAAAAAATAAATTGATCTTGCATGCAAAATCCTGCTAAACTACTCCCCCTCTGGTCCCCATACTGGGAAAAAAAATGTCCCTCCACCCAAATTGCCTTGTGAGAATGCTGCAGGGTGGGAGTAGGTGACAGGTGGGGACGCAGCTCCGGAATACCTTACTCACTTTAACAGAGACTTTGTTGCCCAGAATATCCTTGGGTTTACGAGGCCCTGTGGCTTCATTTTTACCCGTGTTCTCCACTTCCGCCCGCTTTCTCATGCGTAGAGTATGCCATGAACATGACTTCCTGTTGTACCAAAAAATGCACCAATCAAAATGGTAGGTCAGGGACAGTGAGGTGGTGGGCAGGCTCACCACCCTTGGGTGAGTCAGCAGCTAAGATGCTCCATCAAGCCCAGGCTTCAGAGGCCTCAAACCTGCACATCCATGGTGGCTGGCAGCTGACCTCGCCTCCAGCTGGAAGTGAGCGAGGATGAACTCTGACCTCTCCTGGTAGATGTGCAAGGCTGACTGCAGCATTTGAAGAAAATATGAATGCTAGGTTACTAAACTCTAACAAGGGAGTTTGTATACCATACCCATGACGCCTCACAGGACTGAGGAATTCCTCTTGTGAAGGGCATGGTGGATGCGTGAGGAAATGGGGTGAGGAGTGGAACAGGAAAGACAAGGAAAGTATATTCTAGAATGCATATGCTACTGCCACTTTCTCAGGACCAGACACAAAGACCCAAAAGGATGATGCTGAGAGTTCCACCTCACTTTGTATTTGGGCAGGGCCACTCCCAAACAATGTTGATCAGACAGGATTTTCTAAGGCACTTGTTTAATAAACAGTTGAGCACCTCTCATTTATCTGGATATTTTAGGGCAAAGAATTTTTCAGTCTATATTTTCCGTATCACTCAGTTTTTGTGAGTATATGGCTCTGTCAGCCTCTGGATGTCCTAGAGCTTCTCTGTTAGGACAAGACCTAACGTGTACTCCCAGGAGGTGAGAGCAGCAATGGCTTTTCAATAGGCCTTTCATCCTAACATTTTACTTCCCATAAAGGGTCATGGGAGCTACTTCTTCACAGACCTATGAAGACAAGCTCAGAGCAGAGCCCTTACACTCCATAAATATCAAATCTCGAAGACAGAGGTACCAAAAGCCAAGTCACAAGCAGTGTCAGTGACCCTGAGCAGGCATCATCAGTTTCAGGTGAGGTCACAAAGCTTGAATGAAGTTCTAATCGTTGTCTGGAGTAAGTGGTGGCTTCCCTTCAGTATCTCCTTGTCAAAGGTGGGCCTATGCAGACAGGGCTGCATGAGATGAGCCTCCATTATGGGAGAGAGGCAGAGGAGATTTAGGAAGAAGGAAGCTGCTGCAAAATACAGAGCGTCTCCACAACATTCCACACACGTCAGGATTTTAAGGGTATTTTGAGGAAGGTGTTCCAAAAATATTTATCCCCTAACACAAAGGTTCACCCTTCTGAGCAGGAGAAAACAGTCACAGCAATATTTTTGAATCTTCTGGGAAAGTGGACTCCTTCAAAAGCCCAGATCTTCTCTTGAACCTCCTAACTAGCAGGCTCTCTACTGTCCCTGCCTACCAGCACCTTGCTCCAACCACTGTAGCTGAGTGAGAACCAGCCATAGAAGCTAATCTTAGATGGCATCAGCCTATTAACTTCAGACTTTGATAACTTTACTGCCAAATCCATGTCCCTGGCTCCTTCTGAGAACAACTCGAGTCAGGGAGATCCCTGCTGCAAGGACTCCCAGGGCAGGCAGCCCTGTGTCTGTGTGTGTCCATGTGGGGGTGTGTTTCTACATGTATTAAACTCTCTGGGTTACTTAATATGCTTGGTGAAAAACTAGAAATAGTAACAATAACATTTCACGTTCAGAAGAAAGATTCAAAGTAGCATCAGTGGCAGGGCAGGCTTGGTGTCATATTCTTCTTCCGAGAAGAACTCGTCATCACGGTTTGGGGAGCTTTCATCTCTTGGTTGCAAGCCCGGGGACTGATGTGGACACAAGGTTTCAGTGACGTTTATCCTGCAGGCATCACAACCCACTCTGAGCCCTGTGGTTATGGCAGGCCTTGGGGAGGGTGTGCTGAGTGTCTTCCACTGGTAAATACTGACAGTTTCTTCCAGCCCATCACTCCCCTCCACACACCCCCCCAACCTTTGTGCAAGAGCTGTTGACAAGAAACCAAAATGACCCGCTTGTATTTCAGTCTGCTCTCTTTTGCCAGGCCTGACATCCTTTTATCTTCCCTCCCATGGAAGGTATGACTAAGTGGCCAACAGAACCAAAGGTAGGGAGGAAGAAGTGTTTAGTGCGTGGATATTTAGACGATGCATCATTAAGTATTAGCTCTGCAAGTCCCTGATTAATAAAAACTTCAGTGCTTTGAGTGCCTTTATCCCAAGGCTTCCTAAAAGGCACCCAAAACATGTGTACTTAGGATAAAATGCATGGAGGCTATTGTGCCTTAGGAGCCACTACGAATCTTTGGTTGGCCCTGAAGTTACCTAGTGAGGCCAGGGGGATGTCAGTAGCTGCTATCTCCTGACCTAGGGAGAGGCCCAGCACAGTGCAGTTCTGCTGGTGTCACTACTCAGACAGCTTGTGGGAGCCCCCTGCACTCCTTCCATGGATGGCCACCAGGCATGGAAGCAGAAGAGAATGCCAGCCAAACACTGCCTTCTACTCTGGTCATTAATGGACGTCAGCACCTCAGGGCTGCCCAGTTGCTGGGAACCAGTTGGAGAGCATCGAATCTGTACCTTCCCTCATCTCAGAGGTTAGGGAAAACGAACAGGGGCTGTTTAGGAGGAAAGAGCAGGGTCAGAGCTTTAGCGACAAAGGCACTTACTGGGTAGAGACAAAATGCCAATGCATTCACCCAAGTCCTAAAGTATAGAAAAAAAAAAAAAAAAAGAAGAAGACGAAGAGGAAAAGAAGAACCGTTTGCACATTTGAAAGTCCAAGATTACTGAAATGGGGGAAAAAGGGTCAACTAGTCTTTAACTTCGTTAAAACATGCTCATGGTGAAAATTTATTTTACATATTTAAAATAGTACATTTAAACTGATTAGTTACATTACAGGTACAACGATGAGCATCGTGACACCATCATATTGCACAACCTGACTTCATCCATATGGGTTTCTTTAAATAGTGCAAAATACTTTATACAGGAATGTGTTCGGAAGGGTCTTTGCAACCAAAATAAGGAAAAGAAATATCTCACAAATTACTATGAACATGTATTCAAGTGATGGGGTGGGGGGAATTTTTTAAAAGTTACAATCTGTACAGAAGAATTGCCACAGACAACCAAAAAGTTCCCTCCCTCCTGGGAGGAGCAGCGGGCCTCTGACCTTTACAGGTCTGGCATTTGTGCCAAGGTAATATTTTGGTGTCAATCAAAAAAAAAAATATATATATATATCAGTTACTTAATACAATATAAATAGAAGTCCAGTCCAGTGAGTCCTGTGGTGGGTCAAATGTGGCAACAGAAGGCATATCTTTCGTCACCTAGGGTTTCAGTAGGGTTCTTTTCTTAATGAGTTGGGGGGAAAAGCGGGAAAAAAATGAACAGAAAATTATAAAACAAAAGGAAATAAAAATCACTGCCACCACCAACAAAAAAAACTGGACCACTCCAGCCTGGAAGCCCCATGCTGCATATGGTTCCAGCACTCAAACACTGGTTCAGTGGCACTGTTGAGAACAAGCAGCAGTAATTCCCTACCGTGTGTTTGTACTTTTGTGTTTTTTTGTTTGTTTCTGAATATTTTTAATCCTCATACTCCTCTCCCGGGGAAGCCAACGAGGCACTTACTTGATGCTCCCGTCACTACTTTCTGCTGCTGTGGCTTTGGTGAGGGGTGCCAGGATGCTGCCTGGGACCCAGCCCTCGGCGGCGGGGGAATGGTCGCTGGCAGGCTGGTACACCAGACACATGTTCTGCTGGTTGACGGCGAGGACCTGGACCACCTCACCTTGGCTCACACAGATTTCATTCTCCTTCAGTGCATAGTAATCTTTGACCACAGCCATGGACGAGGTCCCATTGCAGCCTCCCAGGTCGTTCTGCTGGGAGACAAGGGTGAAGGCCACAAACACAAGGATGCTAGTTCACATGGGCTTGCTTTGCACCCTACCTGGTGGTTCAAGTAGCAGGGTAAGCAGCAGGCAGCATTCTCTCTTGAGTAATGACATAATATTAATAAATGTGCTCTGAAAGTGTATTTTTTAATAGCAACGTTTCAACAATATTATCATCCAGGGTGAATATGCTCCAGCACAGAAAGTGGTATCAACACGGCTTTGACCTGGAAACCCCTTCCTAGCATACAATCTTCCAGCCAGCATTCTCTGACAAGTGAAAGGAAGAACCTGGCACTGGCATAGGGATATGTAAGCACCTGGGCAGAGTGAGGTCTGGACAAGGGTCATGTCAGGGGTTACAATCCTTCAATGGAAAGAACATGGATCATTTGATATTAAATTGTTTTCTTTTTGAACATGTATTGGCTTTACTGTATATTCTGACCCTCTTTGAGACAAGACTAAGAATGATATCTCTGCCCAATTCAGAGGCAAGGCCAGGACCTGCCTGCACCCAACTTCCTGCAGGCACCAAGTACCTTTCCCTACTCATTAATACAAGAGATGCTGCCTTTGATCTTCCCATGTGAGTCTGCATCAGGGCAGCTGCTTCTAGGCAGATTTCTAACTCCCAAGAAGGCCTGGCTGCCTCACAGAGCATGGTAAGAGCCAGAAATTCTTCAGTATATACATACACATTCTGTATATATGTCTGTGTGTATATATATACATACATATTCTTACATATAGTATATACATATATATCCTGTATGTATATACACACAAATTCTTCAGTATATACTTTTTTTATTTTTTGAAACAGGGTCTTGCTGTGTCACTGCTGAAGTGTAATGGCAGAGTCATAGCTCGCTGTAGCCTCGACTTACCAGGCTGAAGTGATTCTCCTGCCTCAGTAGCTGGGAAAACAGGTATGCGCTACCACGCCTGGCTAATTTTTTTAAAAAAGTTTTATTAGAGACGAGTTCTCGCCATGTTGCCCAGGCTGGTTTTGAACTCCTGAGCTCAAGCCATCCTCCTGCCTTGGCCTTCCAAAGTGCTGGGATTACAGGTGTGAGCCACCATATCTGGCCTGATATGTTCGACAAAATACCAAAGGGATTTCAACTTACTCAAAAAGGCAGGGTTGTTTTGGAAGGTGGAAAATCATTTCCAGGTGATGTGATGAAACAAGTTGGTATAGTTACTCTAACACAGGATTGAACTTGGACATCAATAATTTTTTAATATAACCAATATAAACTAACAATTTTGGAGAGAAATAAAACTATGAAATTGGAAAATGTATATTAAAAATGTGTTTCTATTCATAGAGCCACTGAGGCCTAATGAGATTAACTAACTTGCTAAGGTTCTAAAGCAAGTGAGGCAGAATTGGGAATAGAAGCCAGGTTTGCCTGATTCCTATTCTAGCATTTTTCCCATTTCTCTCCTGTTCTACCTACCGTGTAGGGGCAGAATAGCTGTGTAGACTAGGTGTATGGTTGAGTCTTTGACTCTCCTTATGACAATGTTTGAATTGTAGATTATCTATGAAAAACATTTAATCTAAGCAGGACTTCTGCCATTCACACGCTGATGATTGACTTCCCTTCCACATCAGCCAATGGATGGTGAAGAGCTGTGAACTTCTTTCAGTAGGCGCTCAACGTAGATCATCATTAGAAAAGGTGATCTCTTTTAAGATGTCAAGCACCACAACTGTGACTTTTAGATGAAGATGATCCACACCACAACTATTCTACTTAGCAAAAATCATCCATTTTTATGATTGCCAGAGGGAACTGGTATAACTCACCCAATTTACAGGGAAAGAAAAACGTAATTGAGACTAGACTGTACTTAGTGGGCTGTTCCTGCTAAAAGAATCGGCAAGCATTAAAAGACGCTACTTCCTGGCCGGGTGCGGTGGCTCAGGTCTGTAATCCCAGCACTTTGGGAGGCTGACATGGGAATATCATTTGTGGTCAGGAATTTGTGATCAGCCTGGCCAATATGGTAAAACCCATCTCTTCTAAAAAATATAAAAATTAGCCAGGCGTGGTGTGGTGCCTGTAGTCCCAGCTACTTGGGAGGCTGAGGCAGAAGAATTTGATTGAACCTAGAAGGCAGAGGCTGCAGTGAGCTGAGATCGCGCCACCGCACTCCAGCCTGGGTGACAGACTGAGCCTCCGTCTCTTCCTAAAGTAACTCCTGGGGCTGTGCTCTCATAGTGGCAAGGATGGGAGTAATGAGTTGTCACTTACCTTGCTGGCTTCAAACTTGTCCCCAGGCTGGTGGTATTCAAACCCTGGACTGCCATTGGAGGTAGGTATCTTCAGGGGTGGCAGAGGTGGGTTATAGCTGGAGCCCTTTGGGGGCTTCTCTGAGCCCACAGGAGCAGAGGAGTAGGGCCTGGGGCTGGCTTGGGGAAGCCTGGCAGGTTGAGACTTCATCACGGCTGTGCTCCTTTCTTTCCGCTGATACTCAATGGGCGACTGCAGTGCTGTGGGATAAGAGCAGGTGGTTACTCTAAGCTTTGGAAATCCCACTAGGATTTAGGGGCCTCTTAGGTCTAAGGCTTTGTGTTAGGTGTGGTGTGGATAAGTGAGAAAAACGCTACCGTTGTTTTTAAGGTAATGTGAGAACTAAGACATCTACCTAAATAATAAAAATTTTTTAAAAAAATGGTGCCATATGTGAGGCACTAAGTATAGTGCAAAGAGAGAGAAGGCTCTGTAACGTGCGTGGTGGTGGTAACAAAAGGGCTTTGGAAGAGAGCTGTGGCCAGACTCTGGCGCTTGGGCTGCAGGAAGGAGGCAAGTGTGATGTGTTGGTGAGGGTAACAGGAAGGAGTCAGAGTGCCTGGGGCCTTGGGTCTCCCTGGAGGAGGGGGAAAGAAGAAGGGTCCAGGAAGTGGGAAGGGCCATGGTGTGAAAAGTCTAGACAGTGGGGCCAGTGAGTCTGACCGAATTTCATGACCAAATTCTGAAGGTCATGAAAAGTAAGTGGATTGAATGAACTTTAAAGTTTTAAATTCAGATTCTGTCATCAGAGCCACATGTGAGGAACACTGACCTTGTAGTGGTGAGGAGGAGGGACTGGAGAGGAGGAGACAGAAGGCTTCTTGTCGACTTCAGAAGCTGTGGAATGGTAACAGCGAGAGGCAGAAGGGCTAGGAGAGCGTGACTGGGGAGATGTGGAACGGATGGGGGCATGGCGAGGTTGGGAGAGACGAGACTGTGACAGCCTAGGTAGGAAAAGCAGTGCAAGGATGGAGGATGGCTCAGGTTTGGAGACTCAGAGGACGGTAGTCAGTGGAACTCAGAAGACAAGAGAACAAGCTGATGCGAAGAGGAAGACTGGAGCTTTGTTTCATTGAGTTTAAGGTGACAAGGTTGCAAGGTCTGAGAACTAAAGAGGTAGAGCCAGGCAAATGGCATACAGGTCCAATTCTTTAAGAATGACTTCGAGGGTTGGCCCAGTTATGTCATCTTTATCAGTTTGCACTGTAAAAACTATTTAAGTGGGTTAACAGTTGGGGCCCAGAGAACTTCTCAATTATAAGAATATTTCTACTGTGATAGGTACATACCTCAGTAGGACTTAACATAGGGTCACACTTCCTATTTGAGGTCTCAGAAGGAAAGGTTGGCTCTGAGATGCCTGCATACATCTCTGTAAGTAGAAGCCGGGCTCTGGTCCGTCATCACATCCTTGTCTCTTGCATGTGTTAAAGTAATAACAGGCCTGCCAGAGCACAGCCTCTCTCACTGGGGAGCATTTTGTGGGCATTAAGTATTTAGGAGATGATAACCTAATTTAGTAATACAGTTGGCCCACTGTATCTGTGGGCTCCACAACCATGGATTCAACCAACTCTGGATTGAAAATTTATGGGAAGGGCCAGGGACAGTGGCTCATGCCTATAATCCCTGCACTTTGGAAGGCCAAGGTGGGTAGATCACTCGAGGCCAGGAGTTTAAGACCAGCCGTGGCCAACAAGGCAAAACCTCATCCCTACTAAAAATACAAAAATTAGCCAGGCATGGCGGTGTACACCTGTAATCCCAGCTTCTCGGGAGGCTGAGGCACGAGACTCTTTTGAACCTGGGAACTGGAGGTTTGCAGTGAACTGAGATCATGCCACTGCACTCTAACCTTGGTGACAGAGTGAGACTCTGTCTCGAAAATAAATAAATATATAAATAAAATACATGGGGGGAGAAAGGATGGTTGTAGTCTGTCAGTCCATAAACTGTTATCAGTATAACAACTATTTACACAGCACTTACATTATATTAGGTATTATAAACAATCTAGAGATAATTTAAATTATATAGGATGTACATGTACATAGATCGTCACATGCAAACACAATGTCATGTTCCTCGAGGGACTTGAGCATCCACAGACTCTGGTATCCTTGGGAGGCCTTGGAACCAATTCCCTGTGGATACCAAGGGATGATCGTATCTCTGTGATTCACTGTAATTAGGAGAAAGGTCTCTTGGAACTACGTAAGGGTCTGAATCATTGACTATGCCTAAAGAAATACAGTTCCGAGTTCTAAGTACAAAGCAGAGTTATAAAGCAGGCCTTATCAAACTGATTTGATGGATCAATTCCCATCACATGGAATTGTGATATTACCTGGTTATTTACAATGACTGTGCTAAAACATTTGAAAAAAGTATGCCTTCTTAAATAAGCTAAATAGCCTGCATTCTTTCACCAGCCTCAATTCGCATAGCTTAGTCTCAGAATCAGGAAAACGGTGCATCCCTACAGGGTTTGTTTTTTGGCTGATCTACACAGTGTCTTATGTCTCATCTTGTTTCTTTCTTCACTTTGGTTGCTAGGGATATCATAGTTAAATAAATGAGTGCCCTAACACTAGCATGTATACTACAGTTTTGTGGTTCAAAACCTTAATTTGAAATCCTATAGCTCTAGATTCAATTCCTCTTTCTATCACTTACTGTTTCTGTGACCTTGGACAAGTTCTGAGTCTCCTTTCCCTCCTCTGAAAAAAGTAGGATGATAGTACTTACCTCTCCATGCTGACATGAGGATTAAATGTAAAAAACCAGGTCAAATGCTTAGCATAGTGCCTGGCACAGAATGAGGATTGAATACATGGGAGCTATTATTGTTATGTCAATAACTTTTTGCTTCAACTTATTTTTTTACTTCATTTTTATACTTTATTTTTCTTTTGTCCCAGATTGACGAATTTTAAAATTCCTCATTTCAGCTTAGAATCTATCAGAAACTCCTAACAGAATGTAATTTAAATGGGTGTACTTTATATATGCACACATTTTTGCATAGAATTATTTTATCAACAAAAGTGTTCATTCAGAGTTATATATTCAGAAATCATAAGCCATATACAACTTTCATTACCATCCCTCAGGGCTGGGCTGACATTTAAGTTTAGATGTTTCAGAGTAAAATGAATCCTAGAGATCACTTAGTCTAGCTGTTTTTCACCAAAATTTTTTGCAGTTGAGGGCCAGGGGCCTGGTCCCAAAATACTTCCTTGTAAGTGCAAAATTGCTTTGAAGTCTCATGTTCTATCTTAAAAAGTCATGGCATCCTGCTACACGATCTCCTCTATTCATCTTTAAAACACTGCGCTAAATCCTTTATCCTATAGTGAAACTGATATCGTAGGGAGGACGTCATGTTTCCTGCTTCCAGGAAGACTGGCCCATCATGGTGCACGCCAGCATGGGCAGAGTAGTTCTACCTGAACTCTCTTTTTTTTTTTTGAGACAGAGTTTCGCTCTTGTTACCCAGGCTGGAGTGCAATGGCGCGATCTCGGCTCACCGCAACCTCCGCCTCCTGGGTTCAGGCAATTCTCCTGCCTCAGCCTCCTGAGGAGCTGGGATTACAGGCACGCGCCACCATGCCCAGCTAATTTTTTGTATTTTTAGTAGAGACGGGGTTTCACCATGTTAACCAGGATGGTCTCGATCTCTTGACCTCGTGATCCACCCGCCTCGGCCTCCCAAAGTGCTGGGATTACAGGCTTGAGCCACCGCGCCCGGCCTGAACTCTCTTTTTAACAAAACCAGCCACAAGGGCCAGAGAAATGTCATGACTTGCCCAAGGTCCTCAACTCATATGTCACCTTTTATCTTTCTCTTCAGCATTCAGTTCCATTCTAGACACCCAGAAAATGCTGTATTTGGATCATCTAAAGGAGCCTAGATCTTAGTACTGGCATGAAAAGGTGACACATCCGAAGGCGGGACTGTATATATGTATGTGTGTGTACCTGTGTGTGCACTCATATGCGCATATATGGCCATGTAGTACAGATCTCAGGACAGGGAGGAAGAGGTGATTATACTCAATGCTGGTATTGTGTCTGTGTGTCTATATAGGCATATGTGCTTCTTGCTGGGTCTCCAGGTTTACTTCATTACTAATTAAATTCTGCATTCAACCTCAAGCTCTATTTCTGCTTGGTTAGACTTCTGAGCCAACCAAGTCAGCAGAGATCAGTCACTAGTTTAAAGTCGCACACCCCTTTCCCAGGCTCAGTGTGAAGAAAACCCCAGCAGGGGAAAAAAAATAAAGAAACCAAGTAGCAACTCCATTTCACTCTAATTCACACTACACATGAGGGAACTCCTGCAAGGGCCACAGAGAGCTACACCCTCTGTGTAACCACCAATTTCTTCTAGGAAGTTTTGGGGTACTACAGAAATTTAGAGTTAGCAACCATCTCATTTAAAAGGAGTAAGGCTGACTGGCAACATGGCTTATCTAGGCTCTCACACTGTTGGGAGCAGAGGAGGGATCAGAACTGATTGGCTAAACTCCTATTTATTTCTATAACTGGAGAAGCTGTGAAAATTGGGAAACTGCATGTCATTTCTAGCAGGCCCCTAAGACACAGATGATGTGCCTATCTCAGACTTCTACCCAAATTAGTACCAGGTGGTAGTGATGGCCACAAGACATAAATCCTGTGACCTAAAAAAGAAATCTCTTCCATCAGAAAGATGGAGCTTCTTTTTCATACTCCATGTGTTCTACTTGTATATTCAGATTCAGAAGAATTCTAAAGCGTTTCTGAAAACTACAAAGATGGAGTTCCTTTTCAATGTGATCTGGGTTCATAACTGACCATGAGCCCAGACCCAAGGAAGCTCAGAGATTGCGAAGTCCCCTGAAATGGCCCTGCAAGAAACCAAGCCCAGGACCCACCATTCAAAAAGTCTCGCTGTGTTTCTAAGACTTGATTGATGTCCTGCACCCAGGCCTGCTGGATGTCAGCATTGGCGGCTTGCAGAATGACCCTCTCAGAAGTCTCTCTGTTCATGAGTGCAAACTTGCATGGATCATTGTCCACATTCTCCTCCAGGACCAAGTAATTCATCTGGAAGAAAACAAGTTGATCCTTTTTACATTTAAGAGATTAAAAAAAAAAAATCAGCAACATATTACTGTTCTTCGAAGTTCTTCAAAGTTTCTATTTCAGGACATGCTTCCAAATTTTGCCCTGGATCTAGGAGGCCAGCAGTAGTTAGGTTTTTGTCTCTGGATGAGTGACATGATCCCAGGGAAACTACAAGATCATGCTAGAGACTGGCTCAGCCTGTCACTTTGGCTCACAGATAATCACTGTTGTTCAACCTCCATGACCAAAGGTTCTTAGGCTGAATGATTTTCAGTGTTTTGGATGTCATCCAGTGCCTGGTAGGGAAGCACATCCCAAGAGTCGGGCTCTTCCTTGTCCCTTCTCATCACCACTGAGATCCTCACCTTGATGCTCTTTTTGAACATGTAGCCGGGGGTGAGGGATCCCTTCCTGAGCAGTTCACTGAAGATGACAATCTGCTCAAAGAGGAATACGCGCCTCTCTTTGGTCCGGGACTGCATGCCCGCATCCAGGTCTATCACATAGAACGTGTCCTGTTGCAGCAGCTTCCCTTGAGCAGTCAGGGTGCCCTGAAGGAGAGAGGGGTTGGGGTGAAGTGAATGAAAAACAGGGAGATGGCCACTGCCCTCTGGGTCCCCAGAACCTCCTCATCTGGGGATATGGACAACAGATCTGACATCAAAACTCTCAAGGCTCTAGAGACTGACTTAGAACCCACCCTGCTCATCCAAGGACAGACCTTGGCCACTTTCCTGTTCACACAAGAGCTCTGGAGGGAAAGGGAAAGCAAGCTCCAGGCAAACGCCAGAAGGCAGGAAGTAATGTTATTAGCTGGAAAGTCATAATCCTGGCCCTTCCTGTTTTTTTGTTTTTGTTTGCTGTTTTTTGTTTGGTTTTGGTAGTTTGAGAGAGTCTCGCTCTGTCAGCAGGCTGGAGTGCAGTGGCACAATCTTGGCTCACTGCAAACTCTGCCTCCTGGGTTGGGTTCAAGCAATTCTTGTGCCTCAGTCTCTCGAGTGGCTGGGACAACAGACGCCCACTGCCACGCCCAGATAATTTTTGTATTTTTAGTAGAGACCAGGTTTCACCATGTTGGCCAGGATGGTCTCTATCTCTTGACCTCATGATCCGCCTGCCTCAGCCTCCCAAAGTGCTAGGACTAGAGGCGTGAACCACCACACCTGGCCAGCCCTTCTTGTTTTTTATTGAAAGGACAATAGAAAGTAGGTGACACTTGGAGCTACAAGTGGCCTTTCTGTCCTCAGAGCTCTGAGAGCTGTGCCTGCCTAGCTCCTTTGCAGTACAGTTCAAGGACTTGGGGCATTCTCACGGCCATGAACCTTGAACTCACCTGTGAATAAGGGAAGTGATGAAGGCAGCAGGTCCACAAATACTCTGATAAGTCACTCCCCTCTCTTCTTCAATTATCTTAGGATGGGGAAAATTCTGAAATCTTAGTTTCTAGTTATAGGCCAACAGGTAGAGTTGGTACTATAGTTAAGTCCCCATGTTATATAAGCTGGTAATATAATATGGGGACTGGTAATAATTTTCTAGGTCCTGTGATTCTTCTAAAAATGACTCCAGGCCGGGTGCAGTGGCTTACCCCTGTAATCCTAGCACCTTGGGAGGGCGAGATGGGCAGATCACGAGGTCAAGAGATCGAGACCATCAAGGCCAACATGGTGAAACCCGTCTCTATTAAAAATATAAAAATTAGTTGAGCATGATGGGACGCGCCTGTAGTTCCAGCTACTCCGGAGGCTGAGGCACAAGAATCACTTGAACCTGGGAGGCAGAGGTTGTGGTGAGCCGAAATTGCACCACTGCACTCCAGCCTGGGTGAGAGAGTGAGACTCTGTCTCCAAAAATAAAATAAAATAAATAAATAAAATAAAATAAAATAAAATAAAATAAAACAAAAATACATAAAATAAAAGATTTCAGCTGCCAGGCCACCTGACACCCAGCTGAGGAGGTAGAACCTATTTGGTTTGCCAGTTTCTAATGAGATTTTAGAGACATCTTCACAGCTTCAAAGGGAATATGGCCCAACTCAGAAAGTCTTCCCAGAATCTGTCAGAGCGTCTTGCATTTCTATTGCTTTGCAACGAGAAGACCTCGACATCAGAGACGGCCATCAGTGAACCTCCTCTGAAATGCAGGTACTCTTTTCTCAGGTGACGACTCTGCCCTTTGGTGCAAATGTGGACTCTTCTTTCCATGTGATATCTTATTCCAAACACTACCCAGCAGAGGGGTCATTTTTCTTTTGTGTTCCTGAGAAGCACCTGCCCCCTGCTTGGATCATGGCTCCTTACTGCCAACATCAGCAGCCAAACAGGCTTATCTTTACCCTGCTCTAAAGTTAATATTAAGCCAGTGACCAGCTAGCCAGGAAAGCTCTATTAATATTACACAAGAACCTATCATGGGTTATAGCTCAGTCAGCACCAAACGGAAAGCCAGAGGATTTGAAAATATGAGAGGGAGGAATTTAAAAGAGGAGGCTCTCAATTCCCTCAAGCCCAAAGCCATGGGCTGAGGGAATAGACATTTGCTCACTGTTCCTCCCAGTTGGCTGAAGGAATGCAAAAACCAGGCTCTGGTGGCTTGATGAAAACAGGAGACGACAGTGCTTAACTTAAAACTTGATTCCATACATGTGGGTGTCCGGACACACACACAGGCACACGCACATGTACAACACTCCTCCTGCCAGTGGTCACTTCCTCCAGAGACCCAGAGAAGCACAGCCAGACTCCTGTTCAGAAAACATGGGTCTTCAAGGTTGCAGTACAAAAGGGATCTCTTGGTATGTTCAGAATAGCCTCAGACCTGATGCAATACCCATGGAAAAAGGACAGAACTGCACCTAGAATGACTAAGGAAAATGGTTAAGAACTCAGTGTGTGTCTATCGAGTAACCCTGCTTACGCTACTGCCTCCAGCCTACTTGAGAAGACCAAGAGCCTATGAAATATGCACATTAAAAAAAGAAACGTCCACATAGTTCCTGCCACAGCAAAGAATGGAAACCAGACAGGGACACGTGGGATGGGCTGGAAGGGCAAGGAGGAGAAGGAAATTTGGCTCAAGAATGTCATGAATCCAATGCATGAATCCAAACTTAAATATACTATCCCCCAAATTACTCATATAGTGGTATGAGTATGAGTCAATTATATCTCTAACTTGTATCTATTCCATTCTAGTTTAGCCAGGAGAAAAAAAAAAAAAAAAAAAAAAAAAAAACCAAGCCATTTATTTCTTAATTATCTCAAATTCTAGGAATCCCTTTGTCCCAAAAAGGCATAATGAAAGCTTAGGTTTTAGACTGCTGGGAAATAAAAGATCCACATCTTTCTCTAAGGGGATCAACAGCTACTAGGTAGCAATCAATAATTGTGTCTGTTCCAATTTTATCATATTAATCTTAACAACATACCATATGTGGTTAATTTATTAGGTTTGGATACAAATTAATAACAGTTATTAGGTTTAAATTAGAAAGTCAATTTGCTCTTCAAAGGTTCACTGTTATGGGTTGAACTGTGTTTTCTCTCCTTCCACGTCCCTCATCAATTCCTTTGTTGAAGTCCTAGCTCCTAGGGTCCCAGATGACCAGCATGTGACCTTGTTGGGAAATGGGGTCTTTACAGAGGCAATCAAGTTAAAGTGAAGTAGTCATGAGAGTTAGCCCTAATAGAATATAATTCATGTCCATATTGGGGGAAGAAAAAAAAAAAAAAAAAACTTGGCCACAGACAATAACACAGAGGGAAAGGGAATGTAAAGACACAGGAAATGCCATGTGAACATAAAGATGGCCATCTACAAGCCAAAGAGAAAGATCTAGGACAGACCCCTCCCTCACAGCTTTCAGGCAAAACCAACCTTACAGTACCTTGGTTTCAGACTTTTAGCCTCTACAAGTGTGAGACAATAAATCTCTGTTGTTTCAGCTGCCCCATTTATGGTACTTTGCTATGGCAGCCCTAGCAAACTGGTATATTCACTTACACTAAAATCTTTGGGACACGGCCAATTCACTGCAGACTTGATTCCCCTCTTCAAATAACAGAATTTTGTACTGTAATGTTTCAGAGCTTTAAGTATTCATTTAACTAATAAGCCGGAACCTCCCTCTCAAAAAATAGGTGTTCCATTCTCCTGCTTAGCTCTACTTCTATCACATAGCCCTCCTGTTACTCACAGGCCCTGCATTTATCAATCAAGAAGGGAAAGGAAGAGGTCACTATCAGGTCTAAACACTCATAGAGAACTCTGGGTCTTTCCCAGCCTGGAAAACACGGTGAAAATCTGTCTTTATAAAAAAACACTTAAAAATAAGCCAGGTGTGGTGATGCGTGCTAGAGTCCCAGCTTCTCAGGAGGCTGAGGTGGGAGGATTGCTTGAGTCTGGGAGGCTGAGGCTGTGGTAAGGCAGGATTGCACTAGTCTGCACTCCAGTCTGGGTGACAGAATGAGGCCTTGTCTCAAACAAAATAAAACAAACAAACAACAACAACAACAAACCCCCCCCACACACTTTGGGTCTTTCTAATCTCCTTGGAATTCTGCCCAAATGCTAACTTCTTATGACCTCCCTATTGCCGGACATCCTAGAGAGACGTATCTTCCAGGATTGTGCACCAGAGGGGCCCGGGCATGAAGGCATAGCGGTGAGTGAAGGAGCAGAGGCAGGACACAGGACTTTGTGGGGAGGAAGCCTCAACAGCTCAGACTCCTGTTCTGGAGAGAGCGGGCTTACACACATTCTTAAAGACTCACCTCAAAGCCCTGCAGACGTCCTAGATTCATCATGTCATTGCAACGTTTGGGAACAAGGCACATTAACTCCACTGCTTTCTGTGGGAAAGAACAGTTGTCACTCAGGAGGGGGAACAGCACTCAGGCAGGAAGTCCTTGGTAATTCAATGCTGGAAAACAGGGATTTCATCTCTTGTGGCTCCTTTATTCTAGGAAGGACGCTGGTTATTTATTCAGCAGGATGCTGGTTCCTGCTGTCCACTCTCAGAGAGTGTGGGTCTCTCTGATCTAGAGGGGGAGTGCTGGTCCTCAGCACAGGGGCTCCCTGTCAGTCAATGACCACATGTTGGGGGAATGTTACTCAGCCCCTCTTTTCCCTACGTTCCTATTTTTGTTCACCAATTGCCTTGCCTTCTCAGATTTTCTTTCTTCTCTCTGTTGCTTCCTGGCTGCCCAGGCAACAGCTTAGTCTGGCTTGTGAAACACTTAGAGGTTTTAAACTAAAATAATCTATCAGAATGGTCTATAACCTCTCTGGCTTAAAATAATCCCATGGTGACATTGTCTCAAAGGACTTCACTTGGAAGTAGTCTACAGAGTTTGGATAGCGAGGTGAAAATGAAATACTTTGTATGTTTGACTCAAATAATTCTTGTCTTCATGAATAAAATCGTATACTGGGTCTTTCTGCAACTTACGCCTAATCTCTGAAGGATAATAAAGGGTTACCTCTTCCCACTATGTGTCACTGGGAGCCAAAAGAACACCAGTGGGGCTAAGCCCTAGTCTAGCCCAGGACAGATTTCTCGAGTTCTGGGAAACACTGTGTTCATTAACACTTGCGATTCCTTAAGCAGGGATGAAGCTGTTCACAGGGCCTCTTACTGTCTCAGAGGGGTCTCTCTGGATCCACGTTCCTCCTGAGACAATCTCTTCCCCTCTAGAGAGAGCTATCCAATATGATTCCTAAGAACAGCAAGCATTACAAGCAGAAAACTCACCTCGATATCTGAACACTCCAAACCAGCCTTTTCACTGTATCTCAGGAAGTCCTAGCAAGTGGGGGAAGCAGGGAAGAATATGGGAGGGGTTAAAATTAGTAAAATAGCTGGAAAAAAACTTATCATAAAAATACAATAACACCCTGGAGACTTTCCTTCCCAGCAGAGGTGGCAATGGTTTGGAGTAGCTGAGAAATGAAATTATGAGTCATGTAAGATGTAATAACATAGAGAGAACTCCCAGAATATTCAAGATTTCTTTTTCCTTTTTTGAGACAGAGTCTCACTCTGTTGCCCAGACTGGAGTGCAATGGCACAATCTCGGTTCACTGTAACCTCCACCTCCCAGGTTCAAGCAATTCTCTTGCCTCAGCCTCCTAAGCAGCTAGGATTATAGGCATGTGCCACCATGTCCAGCTAAATTTTGTATTTTCAGTAGAGACAGGGTTTCGCCATGTTGGCCAGGCTGGTCTCAAACTCCTGACCTCAGGTGATCCACCCGCCTCAGTCTCCCAAAGTGCTGGGATTACAGGCGTGAGCCACTGCACCCAGCCCCAAAATTTCAAAGCTATGGGAGAAGGAAGAGTGAGGGGGAGAGAGGATGGAAGGAAAGGGGGATTGTGACAAGAAAGACAGAAAGAAAAGTTAAGTCTCTCTTTTCTATTTAGCCTCCTAATGCCATGAGATGAATCAAGTTAAGCCATTGTTTAAAATATAATTAGGTGGGGCAGAGTGGTTCATGCCTGTAATCTCCACACTTTGAAAGGCCAGGAGTTTGAGACCAGCCTGAGCCATATATTGAGACCCTGTCTCTACCAAAAAACAAAAAATTAGCCAGGCAGTGTGTTATGCAATTGCAGTCCTAGCTACTCGGGAGGCTAAGAAGGGAGGACCACTTGAGCCCAGGCGTTTGAGGACGCAGTGAGCTATGATTATGCCACTATACTCCAGCCTGAGGGACAGAGTAAGACTCTGTCTCAAATATATATACATATATATGATGCTGTCCCAAATGTATGTATATAATTTTAGGTATTGCTTATCTAAGGTTTTTAAAGCCTTGTTTCTCTTTCTTTCTCCCTGTATTTCACTCTGATTTTATATTCTTCTTCTTCCTATTATTATTATTTTTAAGATGGGGATTTTGCTCTTGTTCCCCAGGCTGGAGTGCAATGGCGTAATCTCGGCTCACCACAGCCTCCACCTCCCAGGTTCAAGCGATTCTCCTGCCTCAGCCTCCCTAGTAGCTGAGATTATAGGCATGCGCCACCACACCCAAATAATTTTGTACTTTTAGTATAGATGGGGTTTCTCCATGTTGGTTAGGCTGGCCTTGAACTCCCAACCTCACATGATCCGCCTGCCTCGGCCTCCCAAAGTGCTGGGATTATAGGCATGAGCCACTGTGGCCATTATTATTTTTTAAAGGTCTCAAGTCAACAATTGCGACAAAGTAAGAACGTGAATTGAAAAAAGAAAATCAAGTAACAACCCACCTAAAGGGCAGGAAGAACAGCCATGCAGTTTATCTGGGGGCAAAGCTGACAGAGTAACCAGCAGACGGATGAAAGTTCCCATGTCCCCACTACCCATCCCACAGTTCACAGTCCTTTGGGACAGTGTGGCAGAGGCAGAACCCCTAGTTCTACTGCTAACCTGTTCTGAGCCCGAGGGATCCTGCTTCAGCCCTGACCCAGGCTCCCAGCTTCTTACCTTGAGGAGCAACTGGTATTTTGTTATTCTCTGAATGGGCTTGATGAGGAAGTCACTCAGTGTGAGCCTCTGATTTATCTCCTGTTTTACTTCCTGAAACACAAGAAGCAATATTAGAAAAAAAAGGAACTGAAGAACCGGGGTGCTCTGAATCAGGGTTCAAAGGCATGGATGACAGGTCTGCATGTTTTCCAATGAAGTTGAAGAATCTTTAAGTAATGTGAGAGATAAAATTGCCTAGATGACTGTTTAGCTGTTATGAACAACACATAATACACATCACCACCAGCTTCCTGCCTTCTTCCTGTGCTTTTACAGCAGGTACTTCCACCCCTTGGTCTTTGCCCCAGTCCTGGGAGACAAGCTGGAAGAGCCTTATTCTCGCCACTGCTTCAGGGCAGTGGCAGGGAAAAGGGGCTTCTCCCAGGACTCACAAGCCGATGGAGCCTGGCCCTAAACGTAGATCTCCAAACACTCAGCTGAGCGCTCTTTCTAAGTGATGGTGCTGCCCTTCTCCCAGCAAAATAAATCCTTACAGGCGAGGCCAAGCAGAGACTAGGAAGGCTGCAAACCCCTCAACCAACAGAAGGCTCCTCAGTAAACGGTCCCTGGGGGGACTGGTGGGCGCAATCTGCTCCAGGGTCTCTTAAGAAGAACTGGAGCTTCTCAAACCGTCTCTGTGCTCAGGCTTATTCTGCAAATGGGGCGCTTCTCAAATCAGAACCGGACTGGGCCACCCCAGCTCCTCTCAAGCGAAGGTGCTCATGAGAATTTAGCTATGAAGCTACTTTCTCTGTTGAGGCAGCTGTGGATGGATGATGTCTGGTATTTCTGAAAGTGGCTGTCTTGTCCTGAGTTTTCCCCCCACCCCAATTCAGCAAAGCCTGCACAGCTTACCTCAAAATAGGCGTCATACTCAGCAACGATGTACTCTGAGCGTGGCTTATTCTGACAATACCACACGTAGATGTGCAGCTTCCGCTCCTGAAAGAGCAGAGAGAGACATGTGGACAGTCAGGCATCTTGTGTCTTTTGTTTAGTTTCAGAGTGCCATGCTGGCCTCCATGTGGACAGAGGACAAAGGCACACCTGGGGACACACCAAGGCAGCTGAATATCAGGGATGTAAATGTGGTGGGCAAGAGCCACTTTCCAAATCACCAAGAAGGTAAAAAAACAAACAAACAAACAAAAAAAACCACACACACACACACACCAAAAATACTCAGAGAGGGGTGAGGAGGAATGTCAGTCAAGAACAGCAGAAGAGAAGAAATTTAAGAAATTTTATTTATTAATTTTCCGAGACAGGGTCTCACTCTGTCACCCCGGCTAGAGTGCAGGGTGGGGTCGTGATGGCTCACTGCAGCCTCTACCTCCCAGGCTCAAGCAATCCTCCTGCCTCAGCCTCCCAAGTGGCTAGGACTACAGGCATGTGCCACCAGCTTGGTTAATTTTAAATTTTTTGTAGAGACAGGAGTCTCACTATATTGCCCAGGCTGGTCTCAGCGCTTGGGTTCAAGCAATCCTCTCACCTTGGCCTCCCGAAGTGTTGCAATGACATGTGTGAGCCACTGTCCCTGGCCAGAATTTTAAAGGGAATGTCAATGAGTCTAGTGAAGGAGTTGGGGAAGAGGTGAGGGGAGACACTCACATGCTTAATAAAGAGCTGTGCCAATCTGTCTTGCTCCTGGATACACTTTTCCAGTTCCGCCAGGAAAAAACTAAAAGGAGAAAGAGGGTAAGAGAAGGAAGCCACATTGTTCAGAACTGTGTTATTTCTCAATAATAAGATAAGTGACAGAAGACTCTCCCCTAAGCCCTACCCCTTGAGTCAGATGCAGGAAGAGGACTCGAGTCCTGGGTTCCCAGGACACTGGATCCTGGGGCAGCATTGATACTTACTCCTTATGCCAGTCATAAATCTGATGTATATTTCCAAACACGATTTTGCCCTTCCCTCGCATATCCTCAGGGACACCCTTTTCTTCTATTCTCTTCATGAAGCCCTGCAGCAGCAAAGGCAATGGTTAGTAACATATTTTCATAGGAAAGTTTTCTGGGCCATGCCACACACCTCAGCACCCCTGTCAGCCCACACTCTTTGCAGGAGTTTAAGGACAAATGCTTCTGTCATTTCTCACTATTCAGCCAGGCCTTTTACCCTCACCCCCCACGCAGAGCAATAGACAAAACTTGTACAAGTTTCTGGATCCCCTTCTTTGTCTCCAGTTCCCTTAAGAAAGCAGAGCACAAAGAAAACAATAATCTGTCCCTCTTCCTTCTCCCAATTCAAGTTAATCAGGTCTGTAAAGGCTCAGAACTAGATATGTCTGGCCTAGAAATAAGTCTTAATGGCGGGGGTTGGTGGCTCATGCCTATAATCCCAGCACTTTGGGAAGCCAAGCCGGGCAGATCACCTGAGGTCAGGAGTTCAAGACCAGCCTGACTAAACAGGATGAAACCCCATCTCTACTAAGAATACAAAAATTAGCTGGGCATAGTGGTGGGCGCCTGTAATCCCAGCTACTCGAGAATCTCTTGAACTTGGGAGGCGGAGGTTGCAGTGAGCTGAGATCATGCCATTGCACTCTAGCTTGGGTGACAGAGTGACACTACATCTCAAAAAAAAAAAAAAAAAAAGAGTCTTAATATGTTAATACTTTAGACTCTATAAAATGTAATCATACAGAATTTCATTTCTGCTTTAAAATCAGGTTTTAAGGTTGCACAGGTAGCATTATCCCTATCTGACAGATGAGAAAACTCAGGCACCCAGTGTTAGATGATGACTTGTCTCCTAATCGCACCACTGATGTCTCACTTCCCTGCATCTCAGCCTCCCAGTCTCCAGATTCTTTTGTCTGCTACTCCTGGGCTGGCTGCATATGGAAACTGCTGTAACTCTTCCACCCTGCAGACCCGCAGAAAGATGAGAATAACTTTCCATAAATTAGAATTCAGATCTTCTATATGCCTGGTTAATCTGTTTATTTAAGGTTCAGGATAAGCAAATACAAAACCCTAAGTCTGCAGATTTCACAGGATGGGGACTCAGGCCAAATGTAAGGAACCAGCAGGCAGTGTAGACATTAGGCATAGAATTTTTAGACTCCGTGTTCTTTCAGGATGATTAACAGCAGGGCTCTAAGCTATCCAAATTATCCATTTCCATTTACTTTCTCAGGCCTTTGTTCATCCAAGTGTCTAAGTTCTCTTAAGTAAGTGAATCCCTACAGAGTTAGAACTATTTAATGTAGCTCAAGTTGATTCTTAGCAGTAGATCTATCAACCTTGCTCATTGGTGAGTTTTTCTTTCATCTGTCTTCTTGCTAGCTATAACATTCAGGCTTAAAAATCCATGGAAAATTATAAGCCCTAAGATTCCACTAAAATTGACCTGTTTGGCCGGGTGTGGTGGCATGTGCCTGTAGTCCCAGCTACTCAGGAGGCTGAGGCTGGAGGATTGCTTGAGTTCAGGAGTTCTGGGCTGTAGTGTGCTATACCAATCGGGTGTCTGCACTAAGTTTGGCATCAATATGGTGACCTCCTGGGAGCAGGGGACCACCGGGTTGCTGAAGGAGTGGTGTACCGGCCCCGGTTGGAAATGGAGCAGCTCAAAACTCCCATGCTGATCAGTAGTGGAATTGTACCTGTGAATAGCCACTGCACTCCAGCCTGGGCAACATAGCGAGACCCTGCTTCTTAAAAAAAAAAAAAAAAGAAAAAAAATAAAGAATGACCTGTTTGGCCAGGTACAGTGGCTCAAGCTTGTAATCCCAGCACTCTTGGGGGGCCAATGCGGGCAGATCACAAAGTCAGGAGATTGAGACCATCCTGCCTAGCATGGTGAAATCTTGTCTCTACTAAAAATACAAAAAATTAGCCAGGTGTGGTAGCATGTGACTGTAGTCCCAGCTACTTGGGAGACTGAGGCAGGAGAATTGCTTGAACCTGGGAGACAGAGGTTGCAGTGAGCCAAGATCGTATCACTGCACTCTAGCCTGGGCAACAGAGCAGGACTCCATCTCAAAAAAAAAAAAAAAAAAAAAAGAATGATCTGTTTTATGCCTACATGGCTTATAGCTCTGAAGTCCACATAGTTAAATACCAAAGAAAAGCTCTTAAGACAACAGCTTGGTCCCCTAAAACAAAGTGGAATGAGTTCCACTCAAACCAAGAGGCTCCCCAAAATGCTATAACATTTAGGTCCCTACTTCCCTTTAAATATCTTATTTCAAGGGGAAAAGAAAAACATTGCCTACATATTTTGCTTATTACCATTTTTAGTTTCATTTCTGCCACTGCTTACACAGAGTAAAGTACATGTAACCATAAGATTAAAACACCTTGGCCTAGGTAGGGCCCAACGTGCTCCTGATTGGATGACCCACCCTAAACCTTCTACTTACCTCCACCACAATGCCCAGATCCTTGACATAGTCTTTCTCAGTCTGAACCAGCTCATTCAGGACAAACCTGAGCAGGAGATTAAGAACAATGAGTGTTCCTCTTCATTGTCAAGCCAGAATCTTCACTTAAGTTCACAGAAAAGTTACTTTGACACCTTTACAACAAGACTCCCTAAAACACCCACACTTATCTCCTGGGAAAGGCGCTTACGGATGCTCTCCCTACCAGAGGCCCTACTCAAGGGCTGAGGACACCCAGAAAGGGTTTCCCTGGGTGACATACAATAGTCAGATGAAAAATGACACTCAGCACCTAGCATTCTTCTTTCTATTCTTCACATCTTTCTTCCTCACTTACAAATGAACAATTGTACAGACAGAGGGCAGAAAGAATGACAACCATTTTGGCAAAACTGAGTTCTGAAAGCTTTGAGGCCGAGGGGTTCACATGAGACTTTTCTCCTTTCACTTCAGTTCCACTCTTCACTTACCAAGAGGAGAAAGACATTTGTTTGATTACCAACCTGTGAGTCCTCCAAGGCACGAATAGATATCAAGTGAAGCTTTTAAGATACAGAAGCTGCCATTATTCAGATAGGTTTCCATGGTAACTGGCCCGGAAAATCCCCAGTCAAGGCCAGAAAAGACTGCAGACATTCCAAAATCACACCTTTAATGCAGCACTGCCGTCTCCAGGTTGCAGGATTTAACAATTACAAGGACATTTGCTCTCTTGGTTTCTTTTTTGTTAATTCTTTCTACCATTTACTACGTGCCACTCCCTTCATCTGGGTTTTCTCATGCTTATAATAAGGTACATATTATAAAGCCTATTTTATATAAATGAAAATGCAGAGACAGAAAGATTAGGTAACCTGACCATGATTACAAAGTGAGCAGCAGAGCTAGGATTTGAATCCACTTGTGTAAGAGTCCAAAGACCATGCTCTTTCACAGCAGCCCCCTGCCTGGTAAACTACTCTGACCGGCTCTTGGGAGTCCACACAAACTCAAAACCCAAACCCAGATACTCTTTTCTGTCTTCTGTCCAGACACTAAAGAGCTTTTACATAAAATGTTAATGGTTGTGCACAGAGGCAGGATGGTGCTCTGCAACCTACTGGGGTCAAACGCTTCCAATCTAATTTGAATGAGTTTTGCCTGGGACCACACAATTGCATTTTGGATATAATAATTATAATCCCAAGAAGCAGAAGGGATTAAATTCTGAGATGTCAAAGTGGGACCCCAGCATAAGGGTTGTAACCATTTTGAAACCAGGAAGCAGTTGGTCTGAAATTCTTGCTCTGTATAGCCCCAGAAGCCACCACATTCCTGGGGTCTGGGGCCTCTGGGCAATGGGGAGGAAGGAAGCAGAGAAGCACACACTTCTTTATCAGTGCACCCAGCACTTCCAGCAGCTCCCTCTCCAACACAGACAATCATGTGTTTTAGGCCACAGGAAGCAACTGGCAAGGCCAAATAAAAGCATTTAAATATATCTTTACCATGGCCCAAGTTAATGCCTGGTAGAAAGTGGCAAAAGAAAACCCACAGGAAAGTTCGAGTGAGAATGTGGGGCTGGCAGTGCCCTCAGGAGATGAAGTCTAGCTCTCTGTCTCCAGAAGATATTTTTATCCTAAGCTATTTGCTGACAGTTGAGGGTTATCTTTGGCTTCTCAGCCTCTAGAGAAGCGAACTGTATTAGGTGCTGCTAGTGGACCTAGCATCTCTTCCCTTGAAGGGTTAATGAAGTACCTGGGGAGATCGTGATGTATTTAAAGACATTCTGAAAAGTGACATGAAGGATTTAAATTGCATGCATCGCAAGGCAGGGCACAATTAATTGCCAAATGAATTGAGAAGGCATTTTTTTTTCCATAAGTTCTTATTAGAATTTATTTACAAACATATGTTATTCTTTAGTCCAACTAAAATTATTTTAGTTACAGGTTAGAACCACTTCTGACCTCCTTTCACAGTGATAGGGAATAGCTGGCCTTCCACAGAAAGTCCCTTAGATCCACTGCACTGGCTGTTCTCTCTCCTGAGAACACTTTTTCTCCATGGCTAATTCCTTACCTCCCCTGGTCTCTGTGCAAATGCCAGGGCCATTTAAAGTTGTAACATTTATTCTCTGAATCTCCCTTACACTGCTCTATTTTTTTCTTTTTCTTGCTTCCAACAAACTACATAATTTGTTTATTATCTGATTTCTCCCACTAGAATTTAAACTTGTCATGAGAGCAAAGACTTTTGTTGTTGTTATTTGTCTTATTTACTGATGTATCCCACTGACAGTACGTAACTGGTGTTTGATCAGCATTTGCTGAATGAATGACTAAAACTTGAAGACAAGTAACTCCATTCTCAACTTCTTTCTTCTCCTGGACAAATGACTATTTGTGTCCATCTTTTCTCCATGGAGTTCTCATTTAACCCTTTGATGTCCTACTGCCATCTTCTGGATTGAGTCTTGGTTCGCTACATCCCTCAGCCTCTGGCCTCACATATAGTTTATAGTGAAACACCCACCCTTTCGTCATGGCCATAAAGTACAGCAGGATAGAATAAGGATGAGACATAATAAGAGGAATGAGACACTCTAACAGCTGCATTTGCAAGACAGCTCAGGATGTGAAGAGGTGTGGATTTTGGCAAGAATGAGAAGAGGGAGAAGAGATGAGTAAAGTGGGCAAAACAGAAAGTAAACTTTTGTGGTCTGTTGTGTCTGGGCCATGGCTTAAGTGACTGCTCAAAGGCCAGTTCAAGCTACATGCTAAGAGTAGTGACTGGCTTTGCCCAAGGTCACCTGCGACCTCAGAGGTCCCCTTTCTGACTTAAGCTTTGCTTTGGCTTGAGAAAGAACTAAGACATCAGCTGCAACTCTGCCTCATCAGTAACAACAACCTGAGAAGCTAGGGAGACTCAGCTTTGTACAAGTCCTAGGAAACTTCTCTTTGGGAATGGCATTTCTCAACCTCTGCTCCATTCACCAACTTCTTGGGGCTTCCCCTGAGTACTCACAAAGTTGAGGGGGCAAATATGGAATTACAGGATTTACATGCTACTTGTTCATCTCCACTATGAAGTGATAGCCCTGCTTTCATGCCAGGCCTTCACTATGATGTTCTCACTTTTGTTTCCTAGGAAACAAAAAGGCATAAATAGTCACAAATAGACTCTTTGTACATTTCCACGTAGCAGAAGGACCTAGCCTCACTTATTTTTGCTAGTTTGTATGTCTGTGGCCAGGCTAAAGGAGCGATGAATTTGAGAGAGAAAGGCAGGCTAATTAACAACAGGGAGGGACCCTTCACACCTACCTTCCCAATTCTCACAACTGCTTGCAGCAGAAGCAGACTCTAGGGTTTTTGAGTCAAACCCTAAATAAGAAAACAAAAGTTGGCCGGGTGCAGTGGATCCTGCCTTTAATCCCAGCACTCTGGGAGGCTAAGGCAGGAGGATCACTTGAGCCTAGGTGTTCCAGACCAGCCAAGGCAACAAAGTGAGACTCCATCTCTACAAAAAATAAAATAATTAGCCAGGCATGGTGACGCACACCTGTAGTCCCAGCTACTTCGGAGGCTGAGGCGGGAGGATCCCTTGAGCCCAGGACGTCAAGGCTGCAGTAAGCTATGATCAGGCCACTGCAAGCAAGACCCTGTCTCAAAGAAAAAAAAAACGAAACAAAAATGAAAGTTTTGGAGGAGTTCTGCTTTTGCACTAGTGGTATCTGGTATATTCTTGATCAGCTCAAACAATAGATTGACTTCATATCACATAGATAACTCCTGCCTAAGATGGATTTTTTTTGCATTATGAATCATATTTTACCACTAACTATTCAAAGTGGAGAAGACGTTCTCTTGGAACTAATCCCAGAAACAGATGCAAAATTAAAACCTTTGGAGAAGGAGTAGAGACAGGACCTGCCTGGTGGTACAACAGCTCCTTCCTCTATATATAACTTCCACATTTGGGGAAATGATTTCTTAGGTGACCTCTGTCAGACTTTCTGCCATGGCTAGAGATTCTCTGATTCTATAGGCCCTCAGTAATAGTCTCGTGGTTTCCTCAACTTTGCCATTTTCCTTTTATCATCATATTTTAAATTTCTAACAGACCTGTAACCACACTTTGTCAGTAATAGCTACTATGTCCCAGAATATACTTTAGCCTAAACTTCATTCAAGGCAGTGCCAAGGTGGCTCAATGTTTATCAGTACTGTGCTGTACAGATCTGGGTCTCCTTTACATTGAATGAACGATGTCAGTAGAAACAGTGCGGGGAACCCCTCCTGATTTCTCCCCAACCTTTGCCCCTTTCCACCGCACTCACATGTGCACCAGGGGGGAATATGGGGAAGCCACTTACATCCTGCCTCTCAGGGCCTTGGCTTTCTGTTCTTCTTCCAGGTTTCTAGGAGGAGTGGGTGGGGCCATCCCCTCATTCAGGCAGCCTGCAGGGTCTTTCAAGCTTCCCCGGTATGACCCTCCTTCTAGACTCTGAAAAGAGAGAATAAACAGCCTTAGAAAAGTATACTTTGAAAAGTCATTTGGAATCCCTGTGTCCTCCAAGCCTAGCCATAGACAACACGGAAAATCAGGAGCCAAGGCTATTCTCACCAAACCACAGTGAAGCACTAGCAGACCAGAGACTTCATCCTCCTTGAGCAGGGAGCCCAGAGTTGCCACCTTCTCAGGCAACCAGGATGTACTTGGCACCTATGTGCTGCCAATTTCCCAGACATAATGAAATTGTCAAAGTGACTACCTCTAGGTAAGAGTGCCAGAGGTAATGCTAATTATTGCAATTCTATACCAAATATGCAGTTAGAAAAGAAAACAAGTTTTGAAGAGGGTGAATATGGTACTCTAGAGGGAACTAAGAGTAAAAAAAAAAAACTAAATTTGAATCCCAGATCTGCTAGTCACTCAATGATTTATGTGAAATAGCTAAAATTGTTCCATGCTTCAGTTTTTCTCAGTTTTCAAATGAGAACTTCCTTCTCTACAGATTTCTAAGGAAAAGGCAGAGATAATAGCCATGCAACCCCTTTGAAAAGTTAAAAGTGTCTTACGATGATGAGATTGGTTTTTCCCTGGCCCCATGGATGGAACTGCCAACAATAAAAATACTCAAAATAGTGTCAATCTTAATACTTTTACAAGTGTCTTGGAAGAAGGATTATTAAGTGACATTTAGCATTTCATTATGCAAACTGGCAGAAGCAATGTGGATACACAGAAAGGCTGGAGAGTAAGGTCAAGTTGAGCAACTGTAAAACAAATAATGAGAGACAAATCTAAGGCTATATTCTTCCTTATTATTATTACTTTACTTTAGAGACAGGGTCTCACTTTGTTGCCAGGCTAGTCTTGAACTCCTGGGCTCAAGTGATCCTCCCACTTCAGTCTCCTAAAGTGTTGAGATTACAGGCATGAGCCAATGCATCCAGCTAGAATATGTATGTATGTATGCATGCATGTATGTATGTACATACACATGCATGCATGCAAGCATGTATGTATCTGTCTGTCTATCTATCTATCTATCTATCTATTTATCTATTTATTTGGAGAGAGGGTCTAATTCTATTGCCCAGGCTGGAATGCAGTGATGCAATCATGGCTCACTGTAGCCTTAATCTCCCAAGCTCATGGCTCACTGCAGCCTTGACCTCCTAGGCTCAAGCAATCTCACCTCAGCCTCCCGAGTAGCTGTGATAGGCATGCATCACCATATCCAGCTAATCAGGGTTTTGTTTTGTTTTGTTTTGTTTTTGGTAAAGACAGGGTCTCATTACATTGCCAGGCTGGTCTTGAACTCCTAGGCTCAAGTGATTCTCCCACTTCAGCCTCTCAAAGTGCTGGGATTCTAGGTGTAAGACATTGTGCCTGGCCCTAAACTGCTCTTACAAGATGCCTCTCTAAACAAGCCACTGCTGCTAACAGAAACAGTTTCATTTAGTAGTTTTTGAAAACATTAGCTCTAAGGTTAAAGTCACAAAGATCTTAAAAAGAGCAGCCCAAAAAGGTAGTAGGAAGTAAAGGCTTCAGCCTAGCCTTCAGTGAGCTGCACTTCGAGTATTTGCCACAATGCTCTTAGTTGCTCTATTTTAACATAGGCTAAACAGAGGTAGAAAAGAAAGGTCCAGAGAAATAAAAAGTGAAATGAGGTTCCTTATGGACCATTGTATAAGAAAAGATGGAGAATATAAAGACTTGAATCTGAAAAACATAACACTAAGAAGAGATATCAAACTTCTTGCACCCCCCAACTCCCAAACTGACAAAATGTGCCAAGGGCTACATATGAATTTGTTACCAACACTAGAAACCGGAACTAAGAGGACAAGGTCTTCAGACTCAAGAGAAATAATTTAACTTCAGATAAAGGTATTTACAGAACAAGTAATCAGTCGTGGACGTTGTTATATCCAGAGCAGCAGCATAGGCTAAAAATATGGAAAGGTCAAGAAGGGTTTAGGGAAATTTATAGATACAGGATCTGTAACCTGTTATTAAGGAAATGAGTGTGTCTGGTGCTGAGGCTTGACAGCCAAGCACACAGGCAGGCTTTCCAATGACATGTCTCCTGGTGCCATCACCAGAGACAGACTTCCGGGCAGATGAGCCCAGCTTGCGACTGATCTGATTACATGCCTTTTACTTCTTTCTCTCCATTGTCCTGTTTCAGCCTTTGTTCTGCAGCCTGTTCAGTGTAGCATGGTGACTGCAACGCCTGGGAAACGAGTCTTGGTTTATAGACTCGCTTGACCATTAGATGTTGCTGAAATTCATTCACAGTTCCATCTCTTTGCCATTAAAAGAAATGAATGTTTTCCTCTAGTGGATTGCTGCTCAGTGATCTCCTCTGTGCTCCTGCCCCTTTCCAGGGTGACATCTCTGCCCACAGGCACTCCCATGGAGCATCCAGCTTTGTGTGATCCACTTTCAACCTTTCTATAGAACAACGAACATCTGAGAAGTCCATTATGTCAAATGGGGAAATACTTTCATCTCCTCCTACCTGACCTGTCCTATGAGCAAAGCAGCCCAAGCTGTCTCTAGGGGAGGACTCTCTGGGATGGCGACAGTGAGAGAGAAGGATGAGAGAAAGAAAGAATTTGGCTGAAGCTACATGCTAGGTAGTCTGCCTAAAACAGTGGGTTTGACTTTAGTGCTTGTAGTAAAATTCAAGAGTGATTGCCTCTGAAGACCTAGCTACCTATGCTAGAGTTGGGATACTGAGCTCCCCCTAAGGGTAACTAGGGTTGACCTAAAATTGTCTGTACTGTTCCTGAGAGAAAACAGGCAGTGGTGGCCAGGTTTCTGCCATAGTGAGGACATCTGCCCCAGCTGGAGTTCAGGGGCCAAACAGCCTCAGAGGACAAAGGCAAAGTATACGGGGATGGAGCAACAAACGTTCCCATAGTCGGTCCAAGGTTGGGGAATAGAAATGCAAATAGATTCGAACATGTGATGAAGAACGGAGGAAGGTCATTCCCATATTTAAAATGAGCACATTTCCTGGGCATTGGCTCTGGGATCATATACTCATAACCTGCCTCTCTTCTGGGCACCTATAAACACTCTTTACAGGCTCCCTGCACAGCATTCATCACATAGTATTGTAATCACTGATTTGAATTCAGGCAAATATTTATTGAACATCTTCTACATGCTAAATATTTGCAAAGTGCTAGAGAAATGAGGATGAATAAGACAAAGCTCCCTGCCCTCCATAAGCTAAGACAAAATGGGCATTGTTTTAGAGAGACAGGGGACAATGGAGGAAGAACACAAGGAGCAGGCGGCTCTGTGGTGGGGTGGAGAAGGAAAGACTTAACGGAAGAGGGAATGCTTGAACTGAGTAAGGATAAATGAAGAATTTCACTGGATGTGCCAATGGGAGGACATTCCAGGCAGGAACAGCACTGTGAGTACAGGATGAAGGAGCAAATGACATGGGGCAGCCTGGGAAGGTGACAGTAGCCTGGTCTGAGCAGAGTACAGAGTGTGAGGGAAGGGGGCTGGCAAGGAACTGTGTGTTCTGTGAGTCTGAGTGAGCAGTTGTTAAAGGAGAAGGTGAGGAGTGAAAAGAGAATTCGAGAGAAGTCTGTAGGGATCAGATCATAATGAACCTTGTCTGCATGGCATTAAGAAGTAGAGACTTGGCCAGGAATGGTGGCTTACCCCTCTAATGCCAGCACTTTGGGAGGCTGAGGTGGGAGGATTGTTTGAGCTCAGGAGTTTGAAACTAGCCTGGGGAACACAGTGAGACACCATCTCCATTAAATAAAAAATTAAAATTAAAATTAAAATAAAGAAGTAGAAACTTTACCTTCTCAGACTAATGATGGGAGGGTTGTAAGCAGGAAAAGACATGTTTTGATTTAAGACTTAGAAATGTCTTTTTTTTTTTTTTTTTTTTTTAAGACGGGGTTTCACCATGTTGGTCAGGCTGGTCTTGAACTCCCAACCTCAGGTGATCCGTCCGCCTTGGCCTCCAAAGTGCTTGGATTACAGACGTGAGTCACCACGCCCAGCCTAGAAATGTCATTCTTAATGTTCCAAAGAAACTTTCATAATTTGGGACAATGTCTCTGATATGACAGTAAAGAGAAATACAACTTAAACTTTAAGTATTCTATGATTAACTATACTATTTTAAAAAGGATCTAGAAGAAAACATACCAAAATTTCAACACTGAATATGTCTAGATGATGATTTATGTTTATACTCTTGTCATTTTTCCAAATTTTTTTGAATAAGCATGTTTCTTTTATTAGTCAGAAAAAGAACTATTAATTAAAAAAAAAAAAGAAAGAAAAAGGAAAAGAATACAGGCGCAGTGGCTCACGTCTGTAATCCCAACACTTTGGGAGGCCGAGGCAGGCGGATTACCTGAGGTCAGGAGTTTGAGACCAGCCTGGCCAACAGCATGAAACCCCGTCTCTACTAAAAATACAAAAATTAGCTGAATGTGGTGACACATGCCTGTAGTCGCAGCTACTCGGGAGGCTGAGGCAAGAAAATCACTTAAACCTGGGAGGTGGAGGTTGCAGTGGGGCGAGATCATACCACTGCACTCCAGACTAGGCGACACAGCAAGTCTGTCTCCAAAAAAAGAAAAAAAAAAAAAAAAAGAAAAAAAAGAAAGAAAGAAAAGAAAAGAAAGATCCCTCTAGGGGTCACACAGAGAGATGTCAGACTAAGATCTGAGAGAAAATGATTGCCAACAGTCCAGGGAGGAGAGAATTTTGAGCATTAACCCTAGACGCTGCAAGCTCCATATAAGGAAAACTGTGTTTGATCTCAAAGCCTGGTGCACAGGAGGACTCCAGGAATTTATTAAATATGCTATGTAACTCTTGGGAAGAGATCAAAGCTCATGTGATGAGACAATGGGGAAGCTGGCTGGTCCAATACCACCTACCACACCAACCCATCACCCCTTAGCTGCTCCTCTTTGACAAAAATTTGCACATTACAACTGTTA